GCGTCACACTCATCTCGAACATTTGATATTAGTTTCCCCCCGCCCCCGGCCCCCATCTCCGCCCTCCCCTACATGAATCTCTAGGCTTAACGCCGTAGTGGACGCTTTAGGATACGCTATAACTTTTACCCGTTACCGGCAAACCAGAACGGCAGACACCCGCATGACACCAACGAAAGATGGGTTGAAAATTCCCTATAAAAATAAGACAAGAGAGAGGGATGATTCTAATTGGCGGCTTGGAAATGTCATTTTCGTGCTTTCCCATGAAATAATTCGCCGCAGAAAAAATCCGCTTCACCTGGGATATGTTAATTTTCCTTGTAAAAAATCCGAACACTTGCTAAATTAATTATGTCCGTAAAATTAGTAACGTAGCGAAAAAAAACGACGCAGTAAACTTCTGAATAAAGAATGATTCATCACATACTTATAGCTTAGGATTAATAACGAATCCTTATGTTGTTATTTTTTTTTATTGCTGTTTCATCAGAAGGGTGGGTCGCGCGTATGCCGCGACGCCATCAGGACCGCGGTACGTTCTAACTAACAGCTACATCTCGTAGAAATAGTTTCTTAATATTTTAACAAAATAATAATAATCATCATCATCATCATAAATAGTAATGGTAACAGTGTAATTGTAAGTATGATGGCACTTTCTGAGAAATTGCCATGCATGTAGAATATTGGTTTTAGTCAATTGGTATTAGTTAGAAGGAATCCATTCTAGTCTTATTGCGTTAGTCTTGACATTTAGGCCAAGGTTAGGGGTAACGTCAACATTAGCGTACCTGCGGAAATTGGACAGGTTATTTGTTGCGTTTTGGTTACAACCAATACGATTTGTGTCTACTGTGAAATTGATAACAATTTATTATAACCTCATAACTTTTTCACGGTCAAATAGACTGTAACGAAGACGGACAGAGGTTACTATATACGTCTACGTGGTCTCATGTCGCTAGGTGGATTCCAGTCGCCTACAACCCACCAGAGCACCTACGTGAAGTGGGAGAACGCCTCGCCCGCCAAATCCTTTAAGATCCAGTCTAAATACTCGCCACCAACCGAGAAGTTCCAAGCTTCGTCCACATTCCGCAGTCATTACACAGGCAAGCGACGTTTGATTGTCTATTGATGTTAGATGTCATGGAAACGAGACGTGTTCTTATTTACGTGACCAGCAATCTTTTGTTATTGTTGTTGTTGTTGTTTTGTTGTTATTGTTGTCGCGCTTTTTTTCCTTCTTCGTCTTCATCTTCTTCTTCTTCTTCTTCTTCTTCTTCTTCTTCTTCTTCTTCTTATTATTATTATTATTATGCCCTTCTTTTTTCGTTTCTTCTTCTGCTTGTCTTCATTCTCGTTATCTTATTCGTTTTCTTCTCTTTTTCTTCTTTTCTTCTCTTCCTACTTCTTATTCACTTTCTTAGTATTCTTCTATTTCAATTTTGTATGATCACTCCGTTATTTTATTTTTCCCTTTACTTCTTTCTCTTTTTCTCTTCTTCTTTTTCTTCTACTTCTACTTCTACTCTATTTCCTATCCTTTTTCTTATTTGTCTTTTTTCTTCTTAATTTTTTTCTGTTCCTCATTCTTTAGCAGCAACATAAAAATGATTATAATTAATATAAAGACGTCATCGTTTGGAGGCGACTGTATAGCATGGAGAGTTGCTACCAGCGTATTGAAATATGATAATTACCCCGAGTCAATACTCTTATCATACAGAATATAATCTTGTCTTTTACTGGCGTAACACCGTAACTACGTTAATAACGTTGACAAATCCTGTGATTGAAATTTATTGTCATGTCGGTGTGGTGTATCGTGTCCGCACCTGTGTGCGTGTGTGCGCGCACGTAGTCACCCGCTTGCAAAGCATGACAGTGCGATTACAAGATGCCCGCGTTTCCCATAACCTGCCACAACCCCGAAAGCACACGAATACCTGGGCAATTAACGCAAATAGCAATAACTTAAATCGACACGTATATTTAAAAAAAATATTAATATATGATATAACCGGGAGTCACTCGCAAACTGTCTGCGAACGTCATTTTTGTGACCTTGTAGAGTATAATATAAACATTGTAACGCGTGCACGTAGACTATTCCTACGTTTCGTTATTCTCTCTCTTATTCTCTATCCTAGGGCGCTACACTCCGCCGGCGAAGATCTGCCGACCCAGTCTGAATGACTACGCGTCGGGAAGCGGTGAGAAAGCAAAGATGCCGCAAGACACATCCTACCTGCAGGCGTACAAGGGCGAGAGGCCGGCAAGTTGTCCAGCAAGTAACATCAGCAAGAGTACGCTGGAAACTAACAAGAAGACAGGGCACGCCCTGGTGGTGAAACCCGTAGCGTAGAGATGATCGCCGGGGTTTTACATTGTTACGGTTATAATAATTAGATCGTAGATATATTATAATGAATTATTGGATATCTAGAAATAAGACTATAAACATTCAACGCGATTCGGTTTGATTAACGCAGCACGCGCCATCTATATTACGTCATGGTAATTAACGCAAAGATCTGTCCCGCGTGTAGGATGGCGTGTGTAATTAATTAGGCTATAATATAACGTGCAATTTCTTCGTCGTCTAGTTATACATCGGTTTGACACTCGTAAACACATGAAAATCACTGTTATAAACTACTTTGGCGATTAAACAAACTAAATATAATTAGAATTAAATCACGTTTCTTAATACGAAAAAAATCTTATTATTCAATCAGCTGCTTTGCATATACATCGGATGCCAAAAATAAAGCGAAGCAACGCAAGCAATCTATATCAAACCGAGAAATCAAAAGTTTCTTTTTGTTGAGCAAATATTTATTATACAGACGAAATTTATACATCATTCGAATTCATGTTGTGTGATCTTTATAAGCTCAAATACACACACGCACACACACGTACACGCATGTTTGTTGGCATACAGCAACGAAGCGTACAATGACTAGATGCGGGTGGTGTGCTCTCATAGACCGGCAGAGAGACACATGTAGGGCCTACCAGCGACGCACTTTTCATGCTCTACTGCAACAGTAGAGGGCAGCATCACGAGGGGTTTAGGGTGAGTGTAAGAATAGAGTGGTGAGGGTGGACCGACCAGGCTGCAAGGCTACCTTCATTACACGTCCATACCGATGTACGACCGTTTCTTGGAGTTAGGGAGAGACGTGAAAAGGTAAGGACAGGGTCATATCGTGATAAAATTAGAGGAGGCAGAAGGCCGGACGACAGGTGAATGAGGAGTAGAGCAGTGACGGGGACAGCACAAGGCTAGAGACGCAAGGATATCATACTGTTGAGCTCACAAATTCCCGCAACCTCCCCGAGCAAACTCACGCCTAACACACATTTGCAACCTCCGTCTACAGACCCCCCCCCCTTCTAAACACGAAGGAACTCGTGCTGAAGAGGATTTTTTGCGCACGCCCGTAAACAAACGTACATACGCTGCGGATACTTACATACGCATGTGCACGCACGCACGCACGCACGCACGCACATGCTACTATCTCTCATTACGAACAGCTTCTACAAAAATACCAACTGAAACTATCGCCAGGAGACTATCTATACGGATAGAAAATGTATATAACACTTCTCGCGTGGGACTAGTAGTGCGAGCAGACACACACAATCAACACACATCATCATCATAAACGCACAAATTAACCAACGTTTCAAATACAAGCGCATGAGCTAACCCTCCACTGACGAATGCGCGCGCACACACACGCGAGCACATACGCACGCACACGCACGCACGCACCCCTCCCCCTCACACACACACACGCGCGCACGGCTAGATAAAAGCATGCAAATGAATTAAAGAAACTGTTGAATCGTAATCACCACCAATACACAATTTCATAAATGAAGCACGACAGCACACGAATGTCTCCAATGAAACTAAAACGGTCACGACGGAATCGTGGCCCCCGTCTTTAATCTCGAATAATTTTTCCGTATCGGCAATTCAGTCTTCAACGACATTACTTGTGAGCTTACGTACCCAACACATCCACTTGGTAATTATGAAGCATCATTCATGCAAGACTTCACGCAAGCTTGGTATATTATTTATGCAGTATCTGCACATTTCGACGAGCGTACACGCGCGTGGGCGTGGTTTCACTGTAGATATGGTACTTTCTTTAAACGGCGTATTTACAGCTAGCAGACAGACGGCGTCTACTAAAGAAAACGTGACGAAAACCCGCTGCAAGCTGCTAGCGCCGTTACATAAACACCATGCGCTTCCAGGGCCCTAAACTCCACCTGTTGTGGAGGGAAGGTCAAGGGGCCTAAAGAGGTCAACCTTCTATATTTTGAAAGAATCTTTAGACATGTATCTAATAAATAACCGCAAAATAAGTGGAAATGTTCATGCATTCATTCGTGAAACCCTCATATCCACCCCCAAACACGCACGCGCGCACGCACACACGCACGCGCGCACGCACACACACACACACAGACAGACACACACACACATATACACACACACACGCACATACACACACACTATACACGTTGACTGGAAGCTGCGTCCGTACATCTTCATTACCCAGCCGAGTCATTGCATCCTGACTTTCTTATTAACTGCCACACCGTACATCACATTTACCAAACGTTAAACAATGACTTGAAGCTTCGACGCAGTCAGAGCTTCAATGAAACGCGCAGCTCAGAGCAAGGTTATGAAGCAAGCACAGATGCGTTCCAGTATATTTACGCAAGAGTCGACCATGAAAGAGTTATATGGAATTTAGATTATTATTGACTTTTTGTTTACACTTCGATCTCATAGCGACAGTCGTGCAGACGACACCTCCCTCTACACCTCTCCGGCATGCCAGGTGGTGGGTTGGTGAGCGGGGCGGGGTGGTGGGAGGGGGTTAAGGATGGTAGGAGGCAGTGGGCAAGGCGGGGTGGTGGAAGGGGGTTGAGGATGGTAGGAGGTGGTGGGAGGGTCAGAGTGGTGGGAGGGGGTTGGGGATGGTAGGAGGCGGGCAGCGGGAGGAGGGGAAATCTAGAACATTCCATCACAAGATTATGAATCGTGTCTACTCACCGCTATGCTTGCATCTCCCTCGCCTAGAAACAGAGTAGGTATATGTACCGAAGGATCAGATACGATAATTCACTGAAATCCTCTGGGATTAGCGTCCTGTAGTTTGACCCTGCCTCGCATCTTCGCGATTCGGTACTTGCAGCTTTCAGCAGCAGCGAAAGATTCTCTCACGGTGGACAAGCGGAGATTGCGATAACAGAGTTTAGGTCGATATAGGTCCATATACGCATGTATCTATATATACACATATGAATCTCATACGTTGAACCTCCCGATTACCACACGGCTACATACATAACGCACGCACGCGCGCACACGCACGCACGCACGCGATACCTGTATCGAGCAATCATAAATAAATAATCAATGATGGTAACGTCAATCGACCGCAAATAACGCAATAAACACCTGATGCGTTCGCATAACAGCGCGTAGAGCACGATGAAAACAACCATTCACGAGCGACCACGAAAGACTGATTACTATAGTTATATCAAAATTAAATTGTACCGCAGCACAACGTGTGATAGGAAGACAGGGAATAACGACATAGTGAAGCGTAGGAGATGTACATGAGGACAGAGGTGGGGAAGTAGGGGAAGGAGGTAGGGGAGTGGAGACGGCAGGGGTAAACAATCAGTAATGATAACGGGTATAAGGGGTAGAGGAGATAAGTGTGGGTAGGCAAGATGTGTAAGGATAGGGGAGCTGTGTAGGGGTAGGATAGGGTGCATTTATAACAGGAGAGCTCTAAGATGAAGGCACACAGAATAGCATCGGCCCTTTTTTAGCATATACCGGTGGTCATTTGCAACGCGTGAACATAATAAATACATTTAATTTATACACCTAGTAAACTCAACGAATATGAATAACGCTTGATGCTTGGTGCAGCTAGAATAGCAAACGAACATCACATCCCCCATGACTGGACAAAATCTGGAATCATTTACAACCTGAAAACCACTACATTCAAACCTGTACATTAAAGGTCATTCGTGAGAAATGTGTACTTGGTAGACAGGTGTTCGTTTCATTTAAGGTGGTTTCACTGTGTAACTGCCACTCAACGAAAATGTCACGTGTTCTTAACAGACATGTTTTTTTCGTACACAGGTGTATACTAAACAAGTTTGCCTGCATATGAGCAAACATTAGTGAACCCACAGTCAAGTCTGGGGTTGAGAGTCAATTTCGTACGTCACAGTGCTCTGTCAGGTCACCCCCCCCCCGACCCCAGCGTATACCCCTATAACACAATTACCTACCCCTTGATCATAACCTAATCACATGTGTCGGTTTGCATGGTGAATCCCAGCTACTGAGCAAGAAAACAGCTGCATGGTGCCTAGTATAGCCCAACGCAGCAATGTTATAGAAACGCGACAATGTTACAAAACCACAACAATGTTACATCATTGCAACAATGTTACATTATCACAACAATGTTACATTATCACAACGTTACAGAATCACAACAATGTTACATTATCGCAACAATGTTACATTATCACAATAATGTTACAAAATTGCAAGAACATGACATTATCGAAATAACCTCATGATGCAATAACATTATTGAAAATCCCAGGATCATTATAGAATTGCAACCAAGTTATAGAATTATTCAAAAGTTGCTGGCTGGTGATACATCACAATATGTATGTAGTACTACATACACATGTTATGTATGATATATAGTACGAAGTACTACCCATTTAGGACATATATATATATATATATACATACATACATATCCTATTAACATGCATGTATAGATGATACATATGTAAGTGGTACGTATTAGGATGATCTGATCACCATGACGACATCACGGATGTGCTTCCATGCTTCCACAGTGGGAGAATACTTCACCCACATCCACAGTGAGACGATGCTTCCATTGTGGAAAGGATGCGTCTGTCGTTGCAACATCAGCACCAGGAGAAGAAGGGTGCTCGATCCTGGAAGCTTTGCGTGAAGCTGTCACCAAAAGAGCGGAGGCGCGTGCGGGGACCGTGTGGGCTCCTGCACCGCTCGATCGTAACCACAGGCATCTGCACGAGCTGTACGGGGGACTTGCCATCCCGCAGAGCCTGCGTCAGATTCAGGATCTGTCACGAAATCAATGGCGTGATGGTTAGTAATGCAAGACACGTGTGTGTGTGCATGTATGTGCATGCACGCATTCAGAATTAGGTTCAAGATCAGGGT